CGTGGACGCGGCCGATGACGACCGCCTGCTCATCAACATTAGTCCGGTGGGCCGGGGCCACGTGCTGCTGGTGCCGCAGATGGCACGCCTGCTGCCGCAGCAGCTGGAGCAGCGCGGTCTGCAGCGGCTGCTCGACCTGCTCCTGCTCAGCCGCAGCACGTGAGCGAGGCGCGACGGGCACGCCAGCCACGCGCTGTCGCTGCGGCTGGCGTCCGACTCGCCCGATATGTTGCTGAGACTGGAGTTCGGTTTCTGCATTTGTGACAGTCAGTCAATGAATGTGACTATACTGATCTTGTGACTGGTATTGGTGGTGGTTTTGTCATCAAATGTGTTTCATGTTTTGCTGCATGTGCTATAAGTTGTGTGGAAATGTAAATCAAAACTGTGTTCTTAAGAGCTCAGCCAGCTGGACAAGCTGCCTGTTCTCCATCAGGTGACTGTTCTGACTTTGGGATGTGCCCTAAGCAAGGATTGACAACTGAATCAGATTTTGATGCATCACCTCAGTATAATATAACGTCGATTTCGCCCTACAGAGGCTTCAGTTTGCAATGCAACATACACCTACACTATCTCATTCCAAATCTTTCACCCATCTACCTTTGTACTCAATCTACATTAATTGTGTCTGGGGTAAATGTAGCATTTTCCCATAGTGAGAATGGTACAAGCTTAAATGGTTGGGTTAAAGGCCAGCTGCTGCAAGAGGGTGAAATTATTTACATGGTTTAAAACATTATTGCATGCTCTCGGCCCCTCATCTGTACCTGTGCATCATGTAAATCTTTGCACCAAACATTTATTTGTGCAAGTTGTATGCATGTAACAAAATTTGATGAGGGTGGAACATGCTCCCTTGGGTCACCATGTTTATGCGCTTCCCAGTTTGTACCTTACCTGGGCAAGGCTGGATATTGTATGCATGATTTTTGGATATCCATTTCTTGCACAGCTTATCCCAATATCATCATTTGGTTTGCGAGAACACGCTTGGTACTAGTCGTGATGGGTCATGAAATATGGATGCACCACCCAAACAAGCACTTCAGGTATTTTACAGCAACCAAGATTGTCCAACTGGGTGACATCAGAGGTCCCCTTGTGTATTTAACCGTGTGGTTTGTTTGTCGCTGCGCACGGACGACCGTCATGTTTTGTGTTCATATCGATGGCCTGCAGGTGGCCGCGCTTCTCTGTGGTCCGCTGTGTGCTGCTCTGAGGGACGCTTGGCCCGCGGCCAGCAGCTGGGACGGTCCGGCTCCACCCAACTGACTCGTTCTCCTCCACCTCGTCAGCGGTCTTCGAGGGCTCTTCAACAGCATCGGAGCGCGGGCGTCTGTGAACCACTACCACTTCCAGCTGTACTACTTCGACCACCCGCTGTACATCGAGACGGCAGTGAGTGCCTGGCGCAGCCGCGTCCCCGAGCAGGGCGTTCGGGTCGTTGTGCCCTTCATTTCGATGGCGTCAACGCTTTGCATTGTTCTGCAGAGGCCCGTAGTCGTGATGTTCTCATGTAGATAGATATCTGATATTGGCGAGAAGTGATGTATGCATGCATGCATGATGTAGCGTTCCCGTGGTGTCCCGGGCTCTCGACGCCCCGTGCGGGCGGTGCGCGGGGACGATTGCGCCGCCGGCCGCGCCGTCAGCCGAGTGGTCGCTCGCCGCCAGCCGGTGGAGCGGCTCGACGACGGCCTGTACCAGCTGACCGCCTTCCCTGCGCCCGCCTTCGTGTTCGAGGTCACGCGCGCCACGTACGCCGACGTCGCCAGGTGAGGCGGCCGCGTGGCCGCGCGCGCGACGGATACTCGGTCGCGCGTAGCTCTCCCTTCTTGGTGGTGCTTGCGAGATGCGCGATGATGGTCTGAACAGCCGTTGGTTGTCCAAATTACTGAGTTGTGTACACGGCATGTGGGAGAACAGCTGCGCCTGCGTAGCGTGCCGTGAAGCCTGTGGAAGCTGGTGATGGCCGGGATACCACGGTCAAGCGGTGCTAGTGGTACACCTGAGACTTGTCGCACCCAGCGGGCCTGACGCGTGCTAGAATAAGCTTGGAAGTGACCGCGCCGCGCCTCCAAATATCGAAATGTTGGTCGCGAGCGCAGCCTGCGGTCGTGGTGAGGGCGGTGACCATCAGTTCGTGCCGCAGTCGCGTGGTGGCGCTGGCGGAGCTGATCCTGGACGAGGGGCTTGCCTTTAACCTGGTGGCGTGCCGTGGCGGTCGCTGCTCGGACTCGCCGGCGCGACCCGAGCTGTACCAGGCCGTGCGCGTGTTCGTCTGGCCCCGGCAGCCGGAGTTATGTGAGTCGCCACGGACGGGCCTGAGACGACGGTGGGGCGAGCGAGCGCCAGGCTAGGGGCAGCGTCGGGTTGGAGCCGCTCAAGGGGGAGGGGGGGGGGGGGGTCGTGACAGCGCTCCCAGCGTTCAAATATGAAATTGTCTAATTTATGCATGCCTTTGAATGTTGTCCAACACCAATGAATGTGTGCTGTGGGACGTTTCACGGTGGCCTTGCTGTTGATCTCAGTGACGGCGTTTGTGGTCTTGAGCGTGGTGAAGTATATCAGCATTGTGACCGCTTGGCGGGGGGCACTTGAGTGAAGCTCCAAGTGGGGGGAAGGGGCGGGGGCATTAGCCAGATCATCCGGCGCCCTCAGTTGATGTGTCGTCCCGCAGTGCAAGAACCGACGGACGACTACCAGGTGGCCTCGTGCGAGTTCGCCGGACACATCACCGTTGCATGTAAGGAGGGTGTGACCCGTGTGTGCCATCCAGGGTCCCTAAAAGACCTCATCGTAACCAGAAACAACTCACGGAAGTTAGAACACGTGGGTTCTCCCAGAAAGAACTCACGTGGAACTATATTTTTTTCATCTTATTATGAACTACAACAATACATTCGTCAATCGTTGCATTCGGATTTGCGTGGTCTGCGCCGTCGTTCTTCGTATGTCGTAACGCCTCGTACCATGCAGCTATGTGCCGTTACTACGCGACATATGTCTCTTTGGGTTATGTACTCGCCGCCTCCGGTCCGCTGGATCCGCCGGCGCGTGCCGTGTTCTGCGACCTGAGCGGCCGGCGCCGTGCCGTGTTCACCGGCCTGAGCGGCCGGCGCCGTGCCGTGTTCTCCGACCTGAGCGGCTGGCGCGTGCCGTGTTGCGGCCGGCGCGTGCCGTGTTCTGCGGCCTGAGCGGCCGGCGCGTGTCGTGTTCTGTGGCCTGAGCGGCCGGCGCGTGCCGTGTTCTGCGGCCTGAGCGGCCGGCGCGTGTCGTGTTCTGTGGCCTGAGCGGCCGGCGCGTGACGTGTTCTGTGGCCTGAGCGGCCGGCGCCGTGCCGTGTTCTCCGGCCTGAGCGGCCGGCGCGTGCCGTGTTCTCCGACCTGAGCGGCCGGCGCCTGCCGCAGCGGCCGAGTCCCTGAACTCGCTGACCGAAGCCGGCGTGGCCGAGAGTCTCCGGACCGTGGCCGAGCCCGCCTTCCGCCAGCTCCGGGACAATCGTGCTGAGCCGGCTCGGCGGGCCAGCCAGCTGACCTGCTGACCTCCGCCGGCGACCGGACGACCCCCGGCTGAACTCTGCGGCTGACCTCCGCCGGGGCTCATCATCAGACGGCCTCTGTCGTTGACCTCTGACCGGGCTAGCTGATGATTAGCCAGTATCTGGACTTTTGTTTCAAAATTTAAAAGGACTGCCCCTCGTCCTCCAGCCTTGAGAAGATGGTCAATTCCAGGGAAAAGCAGTGTTATTGCTTTGGAGTTTGATTTAACGATTTTTGCTTCTCAGCCCTACACCTACGCCAAGCTTATTCGTGAAACTGCACACCCCCCTGGGACCTCAAAATGCAGCTGCTGTGTGGTATAGGGGGGGGGGGGGGGGGGGGACCGCAGCAGCGGCGTAGGTGATTTCCGCCTTATGAAGAAGATCCTGCCCCGCGCAGTTACCGGTTGCTGCTCTACTCATCGGCAACAGTCTGATTACAGCACTTTCCTCAGTGCATGCAGCTGAGCTGGACTTACCTATAGCCTCAGTTTACGGGCTTCACCCGCCCTGCTGTCGCGGCCCACGCGCAACTGAGAAACGGAGAGAGGCTTGCAATGGCACGGAAATGGCGTGCTTCGAATGTGTGAGAAAGTGCACATAGAGGAGCAGTCGGCAACGACTTAGGCGGTGTCTGGTACGATTTTATCTGTTTCCGTGCTCCTTTTTTACACGTTCCTTTTGTTTTACTTGAAATTTTTGATAAGCGAAACCTAGTACAAGTAAACAACATTAAAAAAACACAATTATTTCAGTTTCCCACCGACATGTGCGCCCAACGGAGAACAAAAAAAAAAAAACTTTCGGAACTTTTCGCCCATAGAATAACTCATTAGCGCCGCTGCGTAGATGGACCGAAAAAAATTGGAACCTTTATTCAAGGTCGCTTGTGCGTTTCCGTCCTGTGTTCAGACCGCTTTTCTTGGTGGAAAATGTGTATGTGTTTTTTCAACTGCGAATTCCTGCTTGAGAACCAGAAATTCCGTCTGCTTGATTATGCACGGCCGTGCGAGTCTCTAAGGTGGACATCCCTTTTATATAAACCATGCATTTTATTCGATGAAACAGCAGCATTCAAACACGCATATTAAGTGAATGAATCGTGACAGTTATCTTCTTCCTCATTCGTTTTGGTTGGAGCAGGTGCCAACTACTCAGTATTTTATGTGTTTTAGTGTGACGTCACTCATTTCCATAGCAACTAAGGCATGCCCTCAAAAAGTGCCGGCAGTGCGCGTACGGGATATTCCCTGTTCTCCCTGGCTGTACGCTCCGTCAGAAGAGGCGCCTGTTGTTTGGAGTGCGGCTCGCTGAGTGCTGCGTGTGAGGGTGTGCAGGGTTGTAGGAAGGGGGTTAAGACGTGTGTTGGGGAGCAGCATCAGGTCCGAGTACGGAGCGTATTGAAAGGAGTCCTTGTGTGAGGATGACGATAGGTTCCTGTTGAAGCCCGTCTGCAGCATCCCCCCTTCAGTCGTGGCTGGTGTGTCACGCAGCGCTGTTGGAGGCTCTGGACGTGCCCATTTTTTTTTTTATCGCGCTGCTCACTGGGATCAGTTTTTGTATTTGTTTTCATTTTATATTTGTGGAGACTTAACTGTATTCGGGCCAAAAACATCAAGAAAATACTAAGTTTCAGGCGCTCGTCAGCAGTTTTTTGCTCCGGCCTGTATGACCCATAAATGACCTTTGATTTGGACGAGATAGCTCCATCGGACCTGCGCCCCAGACCAGCCGACTGTGAACTGACCTTTACTCCAGGTCAGATGACCTCCAACTGGCCTCGGACTTAGATAGGATGACCGCCAGCCGATCTCCCACTCGGACCGGATGACCTCAAACTGACATCTGCCTGCGGCCGGCTGGCCAGGGTGCGAGCCTCTCTCCGTGGGGGCTGGGTCCCCACTGCTGTTGATGTCGACTGCAGATTTCGCTAGTGTCCGTCCGTTGGCGGCCGCTGCTCCGTGGGGGGGGGGGGGGGGGGGGGCTGGGTTCCCACCGCAGTTGTTGATGCCGACTACAGATGCCGCTGGTATCCGTCTGTTGGCGGCCGCTGCTCCGATGTTCCAGTGGGATGCTCTAGCTGTGTGGTAACACCCGTAGCCGAGTAGTTCATAGTTGGTCAGTGGATACGTTTGATTGTGTTCGGCTGCGGGGACCAAAGCATATGCCAGGTTTCTTTTCCGTTTGCAGTGTCTTATTTCTTTATCCTTTGTCTTTCTCGGGGCACGCCCGCTGAATGTGCGTTAATCGCGTAAAGATGTGCCCTGTTCGATAATGGGATATGGTGCTGGGATGCCCTCCCGTGTCTACTTGCAGTGCATGCTTGCGGTTAAGGGCTATGCTGGTGTTTTGGTGTTTGTTGACGCTCGCAGCTTTTTCACGGATTTAATGCCCGTTACGTTGTTGGCAGTTGAGCGCAACTGATATGAATGGCAGGGCGCGCTCCACGTCTTATCCTCTAGTCCCACTCGGGTCACGTTTACTGAGCCGACTTTGTTATGAGCAACGAACGCGTGGAACCAATTCCAGACTGCAGAACGCAGTTGACTTGTTTTGAGGATGCCTTCTGGGGAATGATTCGGTGGAACTTTTTACCAGTTTTATTCTCGGCTGTGTCACAACTTGCTGTCATACGCGGTGAGCAATACACACTCATAGAACATGTATGTTTGGCATTGTAGTTGTGTGAAAATTTCAGGTTGACGGAGTACGTGTATGTTTTACCAGCTGTGTGTGAATCCCCACCATCCGATGGATTCTGTCAAGATGGCACCGACAAACCATGAACAACAAAAAGACGTCATGAGACTTCTCACTTTCTCAGGCGGTTTAAGTTCTCCGTATGAAGCACACTGAGGCCTACTCCACTGAGGTGAGGCGAGCACAGAGCGGAGTAGCCGACCGCGGTATATTTGTTCAGAATAGCACATACGAAATCGCGAGCCACCGGAGCAACAAGGAACGGTACACAGAGTACACGAGCGGCGCGCCTCGGTCCTGGTCCGCGGCGCGACGCCCTCCGACCCGGCCCCACGCTGGGGGCGCCGACCCCGCGCTGGGGGCGCCGACCCCGCGCTGGGGGCGCCGGCCCGTGCCGACCGTCAGCCGTCTGGGATGCGGGACGGGGCTGAGACGGGGTAGCCGACACAAGCCACGGCCTCGGTGACAGGATGCCACCCGGGCGCGCGTGGGCTGGCGACGGGATGTCACTCGGGCGCGCGTGGGTCGGTGACGGGTTGTCACTCAGGCGCGCGTGGGTCAGTGACCGGGTGTCACTCGGGCGCGCGTGAGCCGGTGACGTGTCACTCGGGCGCGCGTGGGTCGGTGACGGGATGTCACTCGGGCGCGCGTGGGTCGGTGACCGGGTGTCACTCGGGCGCGCGTGAGTCGGTGACGTGTCACTCGGGCGCGCGTGAGTCGGTGACGGCACCACGCCGGCTTCGACAGTCTGGTGGTGTCAGCGGCCCCGATGTCGCCGGGTGACCGCCGCCCGATCCACGTGACATGCGGCTCAGAAACCTGATCTCTGGTCCTTTGGCTCCGCCCCGCAGCGCTGTGCGGGACTGGGGGAGCTGGCGCTCGTGTTCGGTGATCAATGCAGGGTACAGGCGCGGACCTTCGCCGGCAGGTCTGCAGTCGCTCACCGCGGCGACTACTGGGTGTTATCGTATACTTGCGCTCATCTCCAGGCGGAACCGGAATCAAATCCGGTACCAAACGAGTGTTCGTTGAGTCGAAGTTGAATTGGTCGGGCAGCTAAGCTGAGTCATGGATCATTATTCAGAGTCAAATGTGAGACAATGTGTTCACAAATCGTCGATGGGATGACCCAAGTGTAGGTGCTTCTGATAGCTGTTATGTTCACTGTTATGCACATGCTGGCCGCTGAGCAACTATTAGAATATAAACGCCTCTTTGGCGTCTTTTTATCGAAACATGTTATATATGTAGGTGCATGAACTTTGTAGGGCGTGTGATGCCTCTATCTTGAACTGTTCTCACTGGATTCGGGCCCGACGAGATCGGTTCTGAAACTGAGCCACGGACGCCGGATGTAGAAAAGAAACCGTCCGGCAATCGTGCTATTTTCCGTGAGTCGCAGCAGGAATAATTCCCCACCAGCTGTGTGTCGGGGTTGCGAGTGATTCTGAGAAGCTGGATCAAGGAGAAGCCCGCTCGATAGTGATGAATGCTATCCTGCCGCCATTTGTCGTTGCCATTCAGTCGTTGGCAACAGGAGTCCACAGGGCATCAGTTTTCGCCATCGCTCGCTACATTCCACGTGTCCCTATCACTCGTATAATCGTATATCTAGCCGTGTACGAAGTTGCTTTAAAGCTCGCGGTAACCCTGCTCGGCGGTGTTGCGTGCCGCTGGTGGCGCCGTTTTCCAACCAGGCGTACAACTCTCATACTGACGTGTCGTTACGCGCTCACTAGATGGCACGTGTGCGAATAATCTGCCCACTTCACCCCGCAATGAAATTGCTCCTCAGACCATTTGTGACCGTCCAGTAAGCCACGGGTGCTGTTTCGTGTGAGCTGATTAGTGTTCCACCTGTCGCCCTGACCAGGGTCTGTAATGGACCGGGTCATAACCAAAGGACGACACCGGACCACTCTGGCAGTTTCCTCCCCGATTTCTAACATCCTCCACCCTTGCGCTGGCCGTGGTCTGTCGGGTGCGCGCTCCCGGGTTTGCCAGGGCACGCTATGAGGTTCCCACCGCCCCAGCGACCTGTCAGTGGCGAAGGGGGCGCATGCCGGCAGGTCTACCTCCGCGGTACAAACAGGACCCGATTTCCAAACCCGGTCGAGGAGACCCGCCTGCATAGCATCACACGCCGGGGCATGTTCCCCACTTAGCTCTGTCCCTGCAGCTGGCCGCCGCACCAGTCCTAGCCGCTCTCTCGAGCTCGCCGTCCTTAGAGCCTGGCTCGGCGCGCCGCGGCCGAGCCGCTCAGAAGAGGCAGCCGGGCTCGCCGGCCGGCGGCGGCGGCGGCTGCAGCCCGGCGTCCGCGGCGCCGCGCTGCAGGATGGCTGACGTCATCTGCGCCGCGTCGCTCAGTATGCGCGCGCTGTGCTGCTGCGCGCGTGCCCGCAGCGCCGCGATGCTGCTGCTGCGGAAGTCGTGCGGCCGCTCCTGCTGCTCCTGCGGCTGGTGGGGATCCTGTTGCTGCCGGTGCTGGTCCGGCTGGTGCTGCTGGAGGTCCGGGTGGTGTTGCTGATGGTCCGGCTGGTGCTGCTGGTGGTGCTGCTGGTCCGGGAGGTGGTCGGGCGGCGGCGCGTGCGGCTGCTCGTCGCTGCTGCCCGTCTGACTGCTCGTCTCGTCGTCTCCGACGTTCTTCAGCTGCTCGGCGGCCTCCAGCGACTTACGGTGCATGCCTGTCGAAACCCCTTGCAGTCAGCTCGAGTCTGTCGGCTCGAGTCAGTCAGCTCGAGTCAGTCAGCTTGAGTCAGCCAGCTCGAGGTTGTCAGCTCGAGTCGGTCAGCTCGAATCAGTCAGCACGAGTCGGTCAGCTCGAGTCAGTCAGCTCGAGTCAGTCAGCTCGAGTCGGTCAGTTCGAGTCATTCAGCTCGAGTCGGTTAGCTCGAGTCAGTCAGTTTGAGTCAGTCGGCACGAGTCAGTCAGCACGGGTCATTCAGCTCGAGGCTGTCAGCTCGAGTCTGTCAGCTCGAATCGGTCAGCTCGAGTCGGTCAGCTCGAATCAGTCAGCTCGAGTCTGTCAGGTGGAATCAGTCAGCTCGAGTCAGTCAGCTCAAGTCGGCCAGTTCGAGTCAGTCAGCTCGAGTCTGTCAGGTGGAGTCAGTCAGCTTGAGTCTGTCAGCTCGAGTCGGTCAGCTCATGTCAGTCAGCTCGAATCTGTCAGCTCGAGTCAGTCAGCACGAGTCAATCAGCACGAGTCTGTCAGGTGGAGTCAGTCAGCTTGACTCCAGCACGACAGACGAATGGCCATGGTCGAGGCTCCACAGAGCCGGCAGCGCGATTCATGTGTTCATTGATGGGAGTGTCAACTCTGGCTTTTTCTATGAAAACTAACTGATACGGCTTAAGATATGTCTGTGCATGATGACAATGTGAATAAAAGTGCCCAAATTTTTGCTAAAATAAGTAAATGTACCCATAGCAAGTAATGTTCCAAAGCTGAAGTCCTTGGTGATGAGCGCTGGTAGCCGAATCAGTGCGTGCGCCTCTTTCAATTGCTTTTTTGAATTCCGACGAAGTTCTTCATCAAGCACGATATATGCAAGTGATGAACAGCGTCAAGGGTTTCACTTTGGAAAATTGGTTGTGGGGTGGAACCAATAAAAATGACCTAGCCTACCCTAAAATACCGACTTCTCCTCAGATTTTGGCCACTTTGATTCGCGTTCCCGGTGTTAAAAAACGAGCATTTTGCCAGCTCCAAATTGTTTTGATGTTGAGAAATGACAGCCCATATGAAGACTATGTGACTGTGATAATAATGATATCGATAGGTACCGGCTTAGGTACCTCGTGTACGACCCGTTCAGTCACTCGCTGTGTTTCATTGGCCCAGTATTGATCTTTGCTCGCATGCATACGGTAGGGGCAGGCTAAAAAAGGCATTGAGTAGGCTCCTTTCAGTATTGGGGGGCTCAGGCCACCCTACCCCCGAAAGTAAATAAATTGACACCTCTGAGGAGCATCATAGACCAAATACTTGTTTTTCCATATAATCTGCTGAGAACCGACGCAGCTCCCTTACTGATCATTCATAAACCAGTCGGTCAAAGGTATACATGATGGTCTTATCTTAACTATCGCTGTAAGCTGTGGGCAACTCATGAGAACCATTGCAAAAAAAAAATATGTCGAAAGTCCAAACACCCACTGGAATGCTTTAGCCGATTGCAGAGAATTGGAGACGGGGCATAGAAGGCGTGATGGCCAGGTCGGTCCGTCCTGGTTGCATGCAGGCCAGACACTCGATACCCAGACTGGCAGCGACGCTGCGTTTGGCCATGCCAATGATAGCTGATTCAGGGACGGATCCAGAAGGGAGTCACGAGCTCATGCCCCCCCCCCCCCTCCCATGGGCTTGGAAGTGGCCCATAGACTTCGAAAGTGCCCATAGCCGGCCGAGCAGACGCAGTTTTTAAACACAAAACGCGGCAAAATTGGACGTCTTTGGGCTTCCAGGCAAACAAGAATAGTCGCAAGCGAAAGTGAAGGGCCCGCGAGCCAACAAAAATTATCCTTAACCTATTGAGAGGGTGGCGATCGAGAGATTTTAAGGCTCATTACGTTGTCCAAAAGCTTTACGTTGGTTCCGAGGGCTCTTGTTGTCCATTTGCAGTCAACTCGATCGTTAAGAAGCCTTTTAAGGCTCCATGCGCTATAGCCGGGGCCCCATATGTTCACCTGACGAGATATTCTCGGTTGCTCAGGGACCCTTGACGATTGTCTCAGTTAACCTATTGGCACAGTCGTAATATGCTCATGAACACTCTATATTCGTATACGGCCTTTCCAACTCTCTGACACTTGTTTGAGGCCCTACGCTCTTGTTGGGAGCCAATCTGTTAACTTGCCTAGACACACTCGGTTGACCGAGCGCTCCAAATTGGGTCTTGGGTACTTTCAGCTTGAATAGAGGGCCCCACGCACTGGTCGCAAGGCTGTCAGCCCGCACGAGCACACTGGATTGTTCGGGGCCCTGTGCGTTGGTTTTGGCATTTTGATGTGGGGCCCTGTGCTCCTGTTGCAGGCCATCTGATGGCCTGCTCGGATGCGCTCAATCTTTTGGGAGCCCTCCACACTGGGTCTCGGGTACATTTGGACGGAGGTCCCTACGCTCTCGTCGGGGGCCTTATCTGATGAGCTGCTTCGGCACACTCAATTTTGCAGGGGCCCTCCACATTGAGTCTTGGATTCTTCCTGTTTGAATGGAAGGCTCCACGACCTTGTTGGGGCTTTATGTGTTAGCCTGCTTTGGTGCACTTGATCATCCGCGGGCCCTCTACATTGTGTTGTATTTCTTACTTGAATGGAGGAGCTTGTGCTCTTGTTGGGGTCCCCATCTGTTCACCTGCTCGGGCACGCTGGATTACTAGGGGCCCTGCACATTGGGTCTTAGTATTTGAAAGGAGGTCCCTTTTCTCCTGTTGGGGACCATCTGATAACCTGCTCCGGTACACTTCATCTTTTTGGGTCATCCACACTGGGCCTTGGGTGCTTCTTATTTGAAAGGAAGTCCCCACGCTCTCCTTGGGGCCCTTTTCGATAAGCTGCTCGGGCGCACTCGATCGTTCGGAGGCCACTTGCATTGGTTTCTGGGTACTTCCTAGTTCAATGGATGGACATATGCTGGTTTCAGCGTCCCTTCCTGTTAATCTGCCCGGATGCACTAGGTCGTTTGAGCGCCCTCCTCACTGTGGCGTGGGTATTGCTTGTTTGAACGGAGGACTCTACACTCTTGTCCGGGCGGGGGGGGGGGGGGGGGGGGCATGTGCCTAAAATATAATTTGCTCGGGCACACTTGATCATCCCAGACCCTCCATATTGTGCATTTGGTACCTCTGATTTGAATGAATGGCCCTCCGTTCTCGTCGGGATCCCACCTATAAAGGAGGAGAGTTTCACATGTATGTTCGGCTTTTAACAGAAATAGCCATCTTGAAGACCTTTCAGTGCTGTTCACAATCCTGCCTTTCTAAGACCTAAGCTGCTCTAGTTTCTGGGCTACACGCTCGCGAAAATGTGGAAAAGCATATCGAGGAAAGTATTTCAGCCACCTTGGCATTAATGACGTCGTGATAATGTCATTCAAATCCTGTCATTTCATAAGCCATGCGGCGGTCCAGGCCCACAAAATCTGATTGTCGAGGCGTTTATACCTGGCGTTGGTGAGCGCGATTTGCAGATATAACGGCCGTCAACTGGACATCATTCAATGTTGTGCGAGCTACGATGACGTGTTCAAGCCAATTGAAGATCGTATTTACTAAACAGGGAACTGTGTTGTGTAGAACAGCCTTTTCCACTGCAAAAGTTTCCGAATAGTTATAAGTAATCTTTCTTTATCTTACCTGATGCCCGCTTCAGTATCTTCAAATATGAAGCATTCCCTTCAAAGGGAATGCCATTGATATGATAGGTGTTTTATTTTTCACACGCTCGAAATGAAACAGGTGAGGGTTTCTTTCCCTTCAGAGACACGACAGCTTGGAACAGTGTCAGAGACGCATAGCTGGCTCGCAATTCATGCTTATTGAAAATAGCGGAGAAGAGGGATTATCCACAGGAGGGTACTTGCTTGAGCGTATTTGAGGAAAGGTTGAAGATCATGCTCTTATACTATGCGTGGAATTAACATCATGAATAACTGGTATGAATTCGTCAATATTAATATTCACTAACGTGCATATACTTTATCGATGCAATTTTGACGTATCGAGAACCTGCGTATAACTGGGTTGTGATAGCCACATATATTGTGGACACTGGACACTGCATTCTTGTGAATGGCTGAATGAAAGCACAACCTCTTACCTAAGCACAGAATGTAAGTTAGGCGCCGATTTATTTTTTTCAGTATGCAAGAGAGAGCTGCAACTGCACCCCTTCATCTTCACAAAACAGGTGTTTCGATAAGAAGGTGAAGCATACTGCGATGCTTCCATGTATGATTGCTGTGGCTACGTATATGAGGCTTAAAAAATATGTAACTATGGTATATGCATATATATATATATATATATATATATATATATATATACCATAAATAACCAGAGCATAAGGCGCGAAATCCGTTTTTTTCCGAAATCCCTTTGCCCTTATGACGACTTCCACAAATCTGCCCCCTTCCCCAATCATTTTCAGAAATTGACACCGATGGACCTTGGTGCCTTAGCCGTAAAGCAGTAGTCAGATATGCGGCGCTGAATCATTACTCTATACGTCCCACCGACGTCGTTAGTAATAGGTAATAGGTATAGTAAATAAAATAGGTAATTTCCGTCGATTATCGGATTTATGACACTTGTTATGCTTGTGTACCACGTGCTTCATGCATTTTGAATGCCAGGATACTTTGCAGTCGTTCATGATAGGCAAAGCAAAGGCCCTGCACATATATTGTCCAAATATCAACCATCAGCTGGTCACATCGACCAGTCGGCTAGCCGTAAATAAGCTGGGAATGAAGCCCGAGCTGGAACTTGATATTTAGCAGCCAACTTTAGTTTGTTTTGCCATGTTTTCCGAAATATGAGCCTCAAAATGGCACGATTCACCATGATCTGGAAAAAATGAACAAGCTAAATGCATGTGCATGCATAGCACACCTAGTTTTGTAGGGCAACGCGCAATAAGACGGGTTCCCGTGTAAAAAAGGAACATGCTAAAAATCTTGAAATTTTCTGGCCGTAATGCAACGATTTTTTTAGGGACTTCAAACTCTAGGGAGCTCCTCAAGACTAGGGCTTCCCCCTTTGATGAAATCCCGAATCCGCTCTTGAGCTGATTTAACAGCCATGAAGCGGCTCGAGACCAGTTTAAACTGATCTCGATACGAAATTCGGCGAAATTTTGGTATTTAGTGAAATTTGGTTTAAACTTATTTCGATATCTATCGAAATCCCTGATTAAGTAGCGTCACTTATCCCTCAGTTCAATGGGACATCATTACGGAATGAGGCTATTGTAACAGAATAAGTTATTTTCGTCGACAAATGTTTCACGTAGTAAGTGATCCGTTAATACTACGCCTAATCACTGCTTTGTTTCTTTAAACGTGTATAATAGCGAGAGGTTTTACTATTACTGCAAGAAAAAGCGTCGCGGATGGCGGCGTATGGCTATATACAACGGCCCCCGATCTAAAACGGAGCGTGCCGTCCGGGCGCACCCCCCCCCCCCCCTCCCTTCGGTCCGCGCCGGCGGAGCGTGAGAGACGGCAGCAGAGCATCATACCGAGCAGCCAAGGAGCCGGGCAGTCCTTGTCCTCGCTGACCGACTTGGTGATGGTCTCTGGCAGCGGCAGCGAGTGGCGCACCATGGCGCCGTACAGGCCGTACTCGGCCATGATGGTGGAGCGGCCCCACGTCTTCTCCGTCTTGCGCCACTTGGCGCGCCGGTTCTGGAACCATACCTGTCGGCGAGGGGGAGGGGTCAAGGCGGCTTGACTTAACACTGACTCCTGGCCTGGCCTGATCGACTGACTACTGAAAGCTGATGGCCAGATCCACGGGTGCGCAGGGTCCGCCAGGCTGTGTCCTCCCGTTCGGCGAGTCGCTGTCCGACTGCCTGGTCAGCTTTGGAGACGCCTTGTGCCCAGGCATGGGCCCGCCCGTCGGCCCAAGACTGGGCGTCCTCGGCACGTCCGTCAGGCCTACCTCCGACCACGGCCCGCCACGTCTGCCGCCGTCCCGCGTCATAGTCCTGCACCCGCCCCCATACCCGTGGGCTGCCCTTCCGGGTGCCTGATCCGCGGTCTGGCAAGCGAGCCCCAGCCCCCCGGCGGCGGCCTGGCGGCGCCGCCGGCGCGCCGGGCCGCGCGGTGACCGCCCGCCGCGCTCGCCGCGTGCCGACGGGCCCCTGCCGCTAATGGCCGCCGGGGGTGTGGGCCCGCCGCCGGCAGCGGCACGTCGTCGGCCGAAAAACAACGCTCGTTAGCCCGCTAACGACATTAGCATCGCATCCGCCCCGTGCCGACGAATATAAATCCGCTATTTGGCTTTGTTACTGTTGATCATTGCATCGGCTGGCGCGCCGGAGCGGGGCAAAACACGGCTAGTGTGTCGGTGCCGGCGGCTGGGACGCGTCGACGCCGCCGGCGGGCCTGCGCGGGCACGCTCTGGACGGGGGTGACGGATGGAGGACACGCTCGCTCTGGTTACGGTGTGGACGTGTAGCGAAAGAGGCTGCGTCTATGGTGAAGCTATGGGCACGGAAGGTGGTGGCTGACATGAAATGTGAAGATGAAATGTTGAAAGTTATAGACATTCATGCAATGGAAATGGTGGGCACCGCAGAGGATTTGCAGAAACATTTTGATGAGCACACTAGATGCATTTTGTATAACAGGTTCACAACCTTTGGAAACATTGGTAATAGGTTTTCAAGGACACAAACTTGCCTGCATCATCTGTTTAAGTGGGGCTGAAATTAGGTTTTCGATCATTATTGTTCGTTGTGGGGACATTGACCGTCGCGCCCAAATGTGCTGGGGGTTGACCTAGGATGATTTGAGACAACCTGCAGCAATTCTTGGGAAAGCTATGGAACGATTTTCCCCGCCGTCATTCAGACGTTGGCGGAGATTTTCACGGCGCTATAGCATATGATGACACGACCGACGCGCGAAAAGTCCTTCGCTTCCTGACGGGGGGATGTTCGGTGGTCATCGACCCCACTCGGTTATTGAGTCTCTGTCAAGTTACGTAGGCCACTCGCCACGCTCCGAGACTGACTGGGGTCCCAACTAAATGCTAACACACTAACCATACACTTGCACACTGATCATACACTTACACATTAATAATGCACTTAAACATAAATCATACACTAATGCATTGTGCATATATCGTTGCACCATATATGCACGACAAGTGGTACAACAAATTCGTTTTTTGCAAGAGGGACGTCCGTGCCCCCACCACCCCTGGACTAACGGCAAAGCTTGTGAGACGCCTAACACATCCATTGTCATTGCGCAGGCATTGTGCCGTCAGTGGCCTGCCGGGTACAACGAGTTCAATGCGGCCTCGACTGGGCACGCTCTCTGCCGGCCACGAGACCTCGAACGGGCGCCAAGCCACCGACCCTCGGTCGCAGCGCCAGCGTCAGCGGGGCCGCTGCGAACGCACTGATCCTCCAACCCGCCCGCGCTAAGTGGCTGTCGTGATGCGATTAGATAAAGTGGGACCCGACCGCGGACCGGACCGCGGCGGTGCACGCGAGGGAGACCTCTTCCGCCTCTGCCACCGCTCCGGTTACTATTCAGACAACGCTGCCGGCCGGCCGGCGGCGGCAGGAGAACGCTCGCGCTCGGTCTGCCCGCCTCGCTGAATGGAAAGGACGGCCCCCGGCCCCGGTCGCCGCGAAACCCGACCACCGGACCGCTCCGTTCGGCTCAGTTTCCGCCAGCATATCAAAAATTACCGGCGGTGCCGTTGCTGGCCGGGAGCCTGTCTTCTCCGCTGCCGTGGCCGCAGGGACGAGGGAGGCGACACGGCGTCGCGCCGGCGGCGTCCGCGGCGCCCCGGCGGCATCTGCGGCGCCTCGGCGCCCGGGCGCTAATGAAAAGCCCCGCAGTCTGGCGGGCGGACTGGCTCCGAAGCCGCCCTGCCGGGACTGAGTGGCGCTGAGGTGACGTCACTCAGTAGCGGTGAAGTGACGTCACTCTGGGGTGCTAACCTCTAGCTTCGCACGAGCGGCAGAAGCGAGACTGAGCGATGGTGAAGATCGTAAGAAGCTACAGCATCTCATAACTTGTAGGCAGCTCTTTCTTTGTTGCCAGGAGTTTTCAGCTTACGCGACGATAGTTACGCAGTACCAGTGCACAGCGCACTGAGCTTGCTGAAAAAACGTTGTTGAGTTAACTATCTGATCGATGGTTGCGTACTATCAGGATTCATTTGAAATCTGCGCGAGGGCGCAGTCAGGATTGTCTTATGGGGAGGGAGGGGGCCGAAGCTCGGTATGTACGCATGCCAATCTTCAACTTTCTGTTGGTAACCCTCTGTGGTGAAACCGAAAGACCCGGGCCTATCGAGGGTGGCTGGCCCCCCAAGCCCTGTTCTTAGCTGCGCTCCTGCACCTTTATTTTGGCTAGATTTTTCTCTTTGTGCTGTTCTATTTCTGCATGGTTTTGGCGCTAGACAGATCATCGCGTTAGCGGACCGTTTCCAGGTGTGACGGACGACGGCCAGTTTGTTACCAATATAGTAAAGGGCATGTTTCAACTCAGACGAAATATTACGCAAACATACCGCGCTAGAGTTAGTAAACCAACAAAACGGTTTACAGACCATTTCACCTCAGTCCTTGCTCGGGCCGGCCATCGTGCCAGCAATGCTCAGAAAACATGCGGGCATGTCAGAGCAAACCCAGCATGTAATCTTGGGGGTGCCAGGGTGTAAGGGTTCTTACGAATAACATTGGTTTCCAGCTAGCCGTCTGGCCGCAGATCAGTTGGCTAGGCGCAGAGGCCGTCTGACCGGCACGGTTAGCCGGGTGCAAAAGACAATGTTTTTAACCCCACACAAACTATTGCTTGTGATTGAAACACGTAGTCTGGAAAATTTCGCTCCATACAGTCATTTTGCCGGGGGGGGGCGGGGGGGGGGTAACTTCCGATCCCATCGCAGCGTGGCTGGATGGAACAGGAAAAGATCAAAAGTTAATCAAGATCAAGATCAAAATCAAAAGTTAACCGGACCCGGCGTAAGAAATACGCTGCTCTTTCCGGCGATAGCCAGCCGAATTCGTAAGGCCACGTTGTGTGCTATTGTGGGTAGACGCAGACCATTCGTGATGTTTGTGTGCGCTGAGGGTCACCCCCACTGGAGCTCAGACGGCCAAAAACGGCTCGCTCTCATGGCCGCTGCGTGACGGGTACGTGACAGACAGGTACATCACGTGACGGGTACGTGACTGCTGTGTGACAGACAGGTACATCACGTGACGGGTACGTGACTACTGTGTGACAGACAGGTACATCACGTGACGGGTACGTGACTACTGTGTGACAGACAGGTACATCACGTGACGGGTACGTGACTGCTGTGTGACATACAGGTACATCATTCATTATATAGCAGAGTGTCATAACATCGTGTTACTACCAGACACAGAGCACAGGCTGCCTTATTATTGCATATATCTGGTGTTTTTATGGTTCGAAATCGGCCTTTCGTTAACCGAAATTGTGCTTGTTTAAGGACAAATGACATAACGAGCCTTGCATTGTAGGCCCATTCGCTTTAAGAAATATACACCCCCGCGGACATCGGTGAACGAGCGAAGCTGTTGGGTAGCGCAGTCCCAGTATCATCCATCTTAATGACAACGGGTGAAATAACGGGAAGGGGGAAGACAAGCGTCCGTGACCAATGCTTAGAACGGGACCAACGGTCGAGAGGAGGGACATATCCAGACGCACCAATCAAACCACGGTAACAATATATCGGCCGGCCTTGGCAAGAAATCGCATCATCACGGCTAATTGGCGTTGCATTTCACCGCCGCAGAGCATGGCAGCGGCTCGGTTAATCCGCTCTGCGTCCGCTTGATGAGAACGTAACTCAATTACAGCGGGTCACATTGGATTACGATCTGGCGATACGATAAACGATCAAGCTGAGCGACGGCGGCGGAGCGGGATTGTGGCGCACCGATGACAAATGCGCCGCGTCGGAGACCGGCGCACGCTCCCGCCAGGGGAGCGGACCGTCTGGGTAGGGACTGCTTACTCTGACACTCCGAAAGAGACTGGGAGAGAGCCTCTGAGCACGGGACTTTCTTGTCATTGGCGCGTCAGAATACGAGTATAAAACACAGGACGGGCCGGTTCGTCGGAGGGCAGATTGCAGTGTTAAGGCACAGACTGGCATGCCAGAGGACATACTAATATGTTACAGAACGGGAGCATATGTCAAAGGACAAATCACCCTGTCAGAAGGAATACCAGCATGTCAGAGGAACATCCTGATATAAGAAAACAGATGAACAAAGAGCGTGTCAACGAATATGTCAGAGAACGTGTCAGAAAACGAATATGTCAGAAGAGACATGTCAGCGGACGGCCACAGGCCGGCAGCAGCAACGGCTATACAATTCCCCAAACACTCCCGAGACCCGCTCGGGAGACCAAGGCTTCCGCGGCGACGACAGTGAAGCCATGCCTCGCTGGTGAACCCACCCACAGCCCACCCAAAGTGGCGCGCTCAGCCCCCCGCGGCCACGGCCGGCCTGCCCTCGGACCACCTCCGTCGGCCCGGTGGACAGGTGGTAGCCGTCGTCGGCTCCGACGGAGCGCGAGTCGTTAGAGGGCGCTGCGGGCGGCGGCGGCGGCAGCGGCGGCGGCGCGGGTCGATCGACGGTTGCCCCGGAGACGGCGGCGGTGTTGTCAGTGGGAGCCAATCGGCC